GCCCAATTCCTAAATATGTGAGTAATTTTAATCACCAATGGGCTAGGCATTTCCAAATTAAGAAGTTTAACACATGCTCTGTCCTTTGTCACACAAACACAATCACAATGCACATAGAGAGTCAGAGAAAGAGCAATAGAAAACCAATCAACTACAATAGAGAATTGACAGAGCTAGGAGACATTGACGTGAACCAAACATAAAAGGGCTGAAAGCAGAGACGACGTAATGTGCATAAATCACAAATAGGAACAGAGAAGGCAAAGTGAACTAAGCATAATTGACTGATGGCAGAGGCAGAGTAAATGCATAAATTCCACTAATTATTATTACCAAAAGGATTTTTTACACTAAACAGATGAACTGAAGGACAATTTGTGAGTGAACATACCGTATCAGTGATCCCATTTTAATGGACAACAAATCAAATTCCAACTTAAGAAACAGTAGTATCAGTCGAAAACCCACTTCCTCGATGAAGCGGAATCTCATCGGAGAACACTCAAACCTCGACAGAACTTAACGGACCTCTAGCCCACCGGAAACTTGGCAATAAACAAACTGAAAGCAAGGTGTGGCTACTTTTTACAAGTTATTGGGGCAGATCTCAGGCAGATTTCATGACTATTGCTGGGAGTTGATTTTGCTTAGGTTGAAGAAGATGGAGCTACTCTTAATCTCTCTACTCTGTTCGTTTGTGTGTGTGGTCGTCTATGGGTGGGGGTTCGTTGATGGCTATTGGTTTGGAGATGAGTTAGCAGGTTTTTGGTGTTGTCTTTTTGAAGAAGAAGATGAAAGGTTTTGGGTGTTTCTCTATTGAAGAAGAGAACAACAGGGGAGGGTCTCCTTTGCTTGATGAAAAAAATGGCGAATTTTTCAGCTTTTAGCCCATCTTAGGCGTTAGGTCTAGGCTACCTTTTTGTGTAATCCTTTTCTTTTTTTCAAATACAGCTGATTGCTTATATCTAGGGGTTTAGGTTAGTTTTGTAGGGTTTTTTTAGGTTAAGAGGTATGAGCCTAAGAATTATGGGCTTGAGAATTATGGGCTAGGTCGGAAAATTAGGCTTAAAAATGGGTTGTTTGAGCCCAAATTTTATTTTTTCTCCGTGAACAAGACTAAAATACGACCTCATTTACCAATTAATCCTACTTAAGTAAAATAACTATTAAGATAAGACTAATCGTTAAAACAAACCTTTTTTTTTTTGGTATTTTCAAATTTCATATTAAAATAAAAACAAGGTACTATTTTTTGTAATTTTTTTTTAGTTTTACGAAAGGTATATAAACTAACAACAACTAAAAAGAAGAAATATTTTAGTAATTTTTGTTTTTTGATAAAATAAAGTAAAAGAGTCAAAACTAATTGAAATCTCCATCGAGGAACCTCCTATAGACATGTGATTTTTGACCCTCCCCGAAATTTCACCCATTTTAGCATAAAATATTTACTTTATCTGTTCTCAAGATCCAAGGAGAGTTTACGGGGCTTATAGGAGTAAGAACCCATTCCGTGCAAAGCATTGACACACTCTACCCTATCTTCATCCCTGGTCACATCATGGTTCAACAATACCACTTCCAAAGGATCCTCCACATTGATCATGACACTCGTATCATCAACTATCACCTCTGTTACTAGATCCACAAAAGAACAAACCTCAGTACTATTCGGCTGCCTTATTGATTTGCACACATGGAAGATAACTTTTTCGTCACCCACCTAGAAGGTGATCTCCCTTGCTTCCACATCAACCAATGCCTTCCCTGTTGAAAGGAAAGGTCTTCCCAATATTATCGGCACCTCATAGTTGACTTCGCAGTCCAAAATCACAAAACTAGCAGGCAAAATAAACTTGTCCACCTGGACAAGAACATCATCAATAATATCAAGCGGCCTCTTCATTGTTCTATCGGCCATTTGCAATCTCATTAAAGTAGCTCTCGATTGACAAATACCCAAAATTTTGAATACAAAGTAAGGCATCAAATTTATACTAGCTCCCAAATTACACAATGCCTTTGCAAAATTCGCACTCCCAATGGTACATGGAATGGTAAATGCGCCGGGATCTTCAAGCTTTGGAGCCATCGAGTGCACAATATCACTCACTTGATGAGTCATATTGATGGTCTCACAATCCATAGGTCTCTTTTTAGTTACCAAGTCTTTCATAAAATTGGCGTATCTCGGCATTTGCTCAAGAGATTCCACTAGGGGAACATTGATCGACAAACTTTTCATCATCTCAATAAACTTCTTGAAATGATTTTCACTTTTCTGCTTTGCAAGTCTTTACGGGTAAGGTGGAGGAGGCCTTGGCAAAGGAGCCTTGGCTTTAGGCATAACCATTTCCGGCATGTCTATCACGTGTTCCCTAGACGGGTTCACGTCATTTTGAGTCTCCTCCTCAGTATCCTGAATATTAATTCTCACCTCACCATCCAACTTCTCTTCACTCACTTGCTCAACAACTATAGGATCATCAACATTTTGCACTTCAACATCATCACTCACAATTCTATGTTGCTTGGAGGTACTTGCTTCACCACCTCTACCTCTCATAGTGGTCACCGCCATTACATGGCCGATATTGTTTCCACCCGTCGGGTTTACTACCGTATCACTAGGTAGTGCCTCCTTATGGCGAGTGTTCAAAGATTGCGAAATCTGGCCAAGTTGGACCTCTAGATTGCGAATAGAAGTATTATGGGACGCCAATTGGGAATCAGAGTCGACGTTCTTTTTCATCATTTGTTATCGACTCAATCCTTACCATCTCATTGTTTGACGAACTTGGACCTCGGGACGAAAAAGGAGGGGGATTGTTAGGTTGTTAAAACATTGGATACCTTTGAAAACCCGGCCCCCGATTACCTTGATTACCATTATTCTAACCTCCATGGTTGTTGCCCCAGTTCTAATTGTTGTTCCCCCAATTGTTGGAATTGTTGTTGTTATTGTTCCAATGCCTTGGTTTCCCCAATTCTAATTATTCCCTTGCGATCTCCATTATTGATTTGGAGCATTACCGTGTTGTCCTTGATAGTTGTTGGCATACAAAACCTCTTCACTTTGCTCAGAATAACCATTATCTTACTTGTAACCACTGCTACCTTGCTCAAGTTAATCTTTATTGCTTTGCAGTTGTTGACCAGAATGTCTCCTCTTGTTGACCAACATGTTTACCCCTTCCATGGCATTCACTTGCGCTTGAACTTGTTGCAATTGAGCTTTTGCCAACTACTTCATTATTGTAGTTAACTCTGCTATTGCTTGGCCATGGTCGTGGAGCTCTTTATACTGGTAAATGGCAGTGGGATCACCTTGTGGCACATTAGCTCAACTTTTTCAAGCCGGGGAAGTATCTGTCATCTCATCCAAAATCTCACACGCCTCAGCATAAGGTGTGTTTATAAAGTTTCCCCCTGCTACCTGGTTCACTACACACTAATTGGTCGTGTTAATGCCATGGTAGAATGTTTGCTGGATCATTGTTCGGATATTATTTCACCATCGTTCTATACCTTTCCCAGATCTTATGAAGTGGTTCAGCAGGTTCCTGTTTGAAGGCCAGGATCTCATCTCTCAATGTCGCCACATGCCCCGGCGAGAAAAACGTAGATATAAACTTGTCGGCCAACTCATCCTACATAGTGATGGAATGGTTGGGAAGTCTTTCGAGCCAGTCCAAAGCTTTCCCTCTAAGTGAAAAAGGGAACAATCTCAATCTCAAAGCATCCTCCGACACATTTGTCTGTTTGCTTCCCCAATAGGTATCCACAAATCCTTTAAGATGTTTATATGCATTTTAATGGGGAGCACCTGTGAAGTACCCTCGTTGCTCCAATAAAGTCAACATCACATTTGTAATTTGGAAAATTACCCGCCCGGATCCGGGGTGGGACAATTGCACTTGCGTATCTCCTTCATTTGGAAGCACCCATAGAGCGACTCTCGGAGGGACTAGGGGAGGGTCTGGAACATTTTCATTGGCCTGTCAGCCTCTTCTTTAACCTTGAGGTACTAGAGGCACCTCATCTTCACCAATATCATCTAACTCCTCCCTCGGGATAACATTTTCGAGAAGATCATTGTTTGCCATTTTGTACCTAAATCGATTAACTCACACAAGTTAGTAAAACAGAAGGAAAGAAAAACAAGATACAAAACTAGTTAGATAGATAGCCAAAACCGTTTAGCTCCCCGATAACGGTGCCAAGAAGTGATCGGTTTCAACCCTATACCACTATAGAATGGCAAGAGTGGTTGATGCAGCTTTTACCCGAGGGGTCGGATCGATTTGCACAGAGAGCTAATATTAGTTTGGAATTGGATTTCTATCTAATCTAGCTATGTGCGATGTTCTTGATTGCACTTCCAATCATGCTTTGTTTTGGTTACTATTCTACTTTTAACACACGAAGAATGAAAATAAGCTAAGTATTTTGTAAGGGTTTTCTCAATTGGTAAAAAGGCACTAAGGAAGTGACTTACACCTAGATGAGTATCTAATGGGGTCTAAAACTTAGGGCAGGTTTGTTATAATTGGGATCATGATATAGCCATTGCACATAATTACTCACTCTATACCTCTCGGTAGTTTGAGCGACTTTCCCTAATTGGCTTTCTCAAGCCCAATTGGGTGTTCAAACAATGCAAGCAAAATTGGCTCAAGTAAGGTATTACTATCTCTAGGTTTAACCCTTTAATTGGGCTATCAATCTCTTGAATGCACCCAACATGAATNGGTCCACCAAAACGACCCTCCCCAGCTCGAACCATCCAAATAATCATTGGAGGAGGCGATGACGCATCAATCAAAAGAGTAAAATTCACGACTACCCACAAGCTGAAACAATCGATCACTCATGAACGGTATGACAAACTCAAAGACAGTATCATCTTCGATGAGTCGGATACCCACAGTTTGGTCTTTCCTCACTATGATGCCCTTGTTATTACTTTACGCATCTTAGATACTGATGTAATATGTATAATGGTCGATGATAGGAGCGGGGAGTGCATTATCCACCCTCGAGTTTTCGCACAAATAAAGCTCGAGGACAGTATAGTGCCACGTTGCATCACACTGACGGGTTTTAACAATGCAGTTGAGCAGACGTCTGGAGAAATCGCACTATTCGTCCTGGCCGGCGGCATCACTTTGGAGACCACGATCCACATTATGGACCAGGATACGACGTACAACGCCATCATAGGTCAGCCTTGGATATACACCATGAAAGCCATCCCCTCAAACTTATATCAAGTCATAAAATTTCCCACCCTTAGGGGGTATTCAGCGTCCGAGGAGAGCAACGCACTACCCAAGAATGCTATCACATCGCCCAAGACTGTACGTATACCCAACAATTGAAGGGCAAAGCCGAGAAGGCATTACAATTAACTGGGTCAGGGTCGGGTGGCGACGAAGGGAAAGATGTCACCAAGGACCCCAAAATCATAGAGGCCACAGGGTCACCGTAGAGGATCTCGACCTCGTACAACTCGACAAAGATGACCACAGCAAAAAAACCTACATCGGTCACAAACTTCAAGAACCAGGTAAATTCAATCAATTTTTAGCTAGTAATGCAGACTTGTTTGCCTTTTCCCAGGTAGATATGTCGGGCATCCCGAAAGAGATAGCGACACACAAGTTGAACGTCGACCCATTTTACCCCCAGTACGGAAAGTTAGGCAGAAATTCAATTCCGCAATAAATGACGCGGTCCGCGAGGAAGTTGAAAAAATGCTGGAAAATGGCTCTCTCAGAGAATTAAAGTACCCCCAATGGGTTGCCAACGTGGTCGTGGTGAAAAAGAAGAATGGGAAATGGCGGATGTGCGTAGACTTCACAGATCTGAACAAAGCCCACCCGAAAGACTGATTCCCACTACCCCATATTGACCAACTCATTGACGCAACGACCAGACATGAGCTATTAATCTTCTTAGACGCCTACTCGGGCTATAACCAGATCCTTGTGGAGGAGGAAGATCAAGAAAATACCACTTTCATCACTCACTAGGGGACGTACTGCTATGGAGTGTGCCTTTCGGACTGAAAAATTAAGAGGGGACGTATAAGAGGTTGGTTACAAAAATGTTCAATGACTAGATCTGCAAAACTATGGAAGTCTACATTGACAACATGTTGGTCAAGTCAAAAAGGAAAGAGGATCATATCGACCACTTGAAAGAGGCCTTCGACATACTCAGGTTATACGGTATGAAATTGAACACCGAAAAGTGTGCCTTCGGCGTAACCTCGGGAAAGTTCCTCGGCTTCTTGGTATCACAACGAGTCATCGAGGTCAACCCCAACCAAATCAAAGCTATAAAAGGAATACCGGAGAACTTAACTAGTAAGAAAGAAGTACATAAGCTGACCGGCTGCATAGCCGCCCTGTCGAGATTCATCTCACGGTCTTTCGACAGATGCCTTAAATTTTTCGGCGTACTCAAGAAAGACAATGGACTCCAATGGAACTCCGAGTGCGTAGAAGCCTTGAAAAAATTAATGGCATACTTATCTTCACCCCCACTGCTTGCTAGGCGAAACTTGGGGAACGTCTCCTCATTTACCTGACTATATCCGATGTGGCCGTGAGTGCGGTCCTAGTCCGAGAAAACAAAGGTACACAATCTCTCATCTACTATATTAGCAAAACTTTAGTTGACGCTGAAACGAGGTACCCCACAACTCGAGAAGTTAGCCCTGGCTTTGGTCGTAGCTTCATGGAAGCTTAGACCTTATTTCTAGTGTCACCCCATCTCGGTGGTCACGACCTTTCCCCTAAGGAGTATTCTGCACAAACCCAAACTGTCAAGAAGATTAGCTAAATGGGCCATAGAATTGAGCAAACATGATATAACCTATCAACCGCAAACGGTGATAAAGTCGCAAGTGCTCGCCGACTTCGTCACCGACTTCAACACAAAAATAATGCCTGAAGTAAAAAGGGAAGACACACGTACTTCCCCCAGAATACACGACCTATGGGTTTTGTATACTGATGGCGCCTCTAACGCGCCGGGATCAGGATTGGGAATCGTGCTCGAGGTCCCAACGGGCGAAGTAATTCGTCAGTCCATAAGATGCCCAGATATGACTAACAACGAAGCCGATTATGAGGCCGTGATTGTAGGACTAAAGTTAGCACTCAAGGACGGAGCGAAGCGAGTCATCCTACGCTGCAATGCTCAGCTCGTCGTTAATCAAGTCATAGAGACCTTCCAAATCAAGGAACACAGACTACAAATATACCAGGTCGAGATCTGCAAGCTGTTATCCGAGTTCGACGAATGCCAGCTCGACCAAATCCCTCGAGCACAAAATATCGAAGCAGATAGCCTTGCCAAACTGGCAGTGGCCACTAAAAGCATAACCGTAGAAGGGACCGTGGTCACTCTACTCCACTCGTAGATCGATCAAATCGAGGTACGAACTATAAACCTAACTTGGGACTGGCACAATCGTATTGTCACATATTTGCAAGACGGTGTTCTTCCAAACGATAAAAAAGAAGCCAAAAAGCTTTGATTGCAGGTGGCCAGGTACAACATCATCAACAACGACCTGTACAAAAGAACGTATGGCCCCCTCAGCGAAATGCTTACGCCCAAACCAGACACGACGCATTCTGGAGGAATTCCACAAAGGTCACTGCGGAGCTCATACCGACAATCGATCCCTAGTCAGATGCCTCATACGAGCACGCTACTACTGTCCTACAATGAATAAAGAGGTCGTCAACTTCGTCAAAATGCGAATGATGCCAAAGATACGCCCCCATGATCCACCAAGCGGGCGAGCACCTCCACTCAGTCACCTCGCCTTGGCCTTTCATGAAATGGGGGATGGACATCATCGAACCCCTCCTAGTAGGATGAGGTAATGTACGATTTCTTTTAGTTTTAACTGATTATTTTTCCAAGTAGGTAGAAGCAGGCGCATTCTCCCAAATTCGCGAGCAAGAAGTGATCGCCTTTATACGGAGGAATATCCTGTGCCATTTTGGCCTCCCCAAAGAAATTAGTTGTGACAACGGGCCTCAATTCATTGGGAAAAAGATCGCCGAGTTCTTCGAGAAATAGCATATCAAAAGAATACTCTCTACGCCATATCATCCCGCGGGGCAATGGACAAACAGAGTCCTCCAACAAGTCAATATTGAATATCATAAAGAAGAAGCTCGAAAATGCCAAGGGACTGTGGCCGGAGTTGTTGCAGTAAGTGCTATGGGAATAGCACACAACGCCAAAAATAAGTACAGGAGAAACATCGTACTCACTAGACTATGGGACTGATGCAGTAATACCGGTCAAGGTCGGAGAACCAAGTCTAAGGTAGTCATATGAGAGCGGGTAGAGAAACGACGAAAGCAGAAGGCAAGACCTTGATGAGGCCGAAGAATGAAGAGACATGGCTTACATAAGGATGGTCACCCAGAAACAACAGGCAGAGCGATACTACAACAAAAAAGCCAAGATCAGACCGCTCAAAGTTGGGGACTACGTACTCAAAGCCAAAACACATGCAAGGAAGGATCCAAGGGAAGGAAAGCTATGGACTAATTGGGACGGCCCATACAAAATTACGGCGGCAGAAAGCAAAGGGTCATTCCAACTAGAAACAATGGAAGGAAACTAAACAACTGGAACATCACCCACCTCAAGTACTTCAACTTCTAAGGAAAGATGTTCTCCAAGCCGTGCTCTTTTTCCCTCACTTAAGTTTTGTCCCAATTAGGCTTTCTCGGGGAGGTTTTTAACGAGGCGACGAGGACATTTCGAAGTTAAGCACGAGCAGGTGATAATACAAGTTAGCTAGTTAATTGCTCGACCCCTCGAATACTTCTCCAGGCCGACCAATAAAGAGACTAGATAGACTGGGACTGGAATACCAGCCCGGAAAATTTGTAAAATTCTATAATGTATATATGTAAGCAAATCATACAAGCACATGATGTTCGCCTATGTCTCCACCAAGTTTAACACTGCACCAATTAAGACACTCACATTCGACCTCGTTCGAATTAATTAAGAGTAACATTCGACCTCGCTCGAATCAACTCACATTCGACCTCATTCGAATTAATTAAGAGTAACATTCGACTTCGCTCGAATTAACTCACATTCAACCTAGCTCGAATTTCATTCACAGTTAACCTCGTTCAAATTAATTACGACAACATTTAACTTCACTCGAACTAATCAAAGAGACTCGATCAGGTCGAGCTAACTCCTACCAACACAGTTCTTTTAAATCAAGGCAATCAATCGAGAACATTCAAGGAAAAAATAGAAGACTCAGAAATAAACAACAAAAGTAGCATTCCAAGTCAAAAAGGTATCTTACAAGGGCCGAACAGATGCCTCAAAAGTAAAAACAAAAGATTACAAAAAGCATCATTCAACGGCATCATCCTCGCCATCATCCTCACCGGTTGACTACGCATCATCATACCAAGCACCTTGCTCGATCCCGTCAAGCTCATCTTCATCATTGTCCGCCCGTGGCGTGGTGGGATCACAACCACAGGCGACTCGAGTTGTGCACGCCTTGGCACAAGCACCCTCAAACTCAACCTCAGTAACTCTCACTGCCGCCATGAGGTCCCTAAATATGTCTAGCTGGGCCTCGACATGGATCCACTTCTCATACGAATCCTGCGCACCGGTAGGATAAGCGGAAGTGTGAAAGGATGATGGTTGAGCCAATAGTTACGCCATTTCGGCCTCAAGGGCGGCGACCTGATCATTTAAGTTCGAAACCTCTCCCAAGCCCGCCAATCCGCTCATCAAGCCTTGCCTCCCTGAGCACGGCCGCCTCCACTTCACTCGCTTGTTCAGACCTGAGGACGCGGATGACCTCCTCCAACGCCGCCACCCTTGCCAAAGCCGCCATCCTGGCCTCCTCGACCTTCCCCAAATTTGCCATCTTTTTAATCAACTCATCACTCAAGTCATTGGCCCTGGCCGAACTCTATTCAAGTTCAGCCCGCAGGGATGCCACTTGAGCATGAAGATCGGCACACTCAGCCGCAACCCCCCTGCTCACCTCAAGCTCGTCCTCCTTAATTCTAAGAGCTCTCTCGAGCTCGCTACATTTGTCGATGACCCTCACAAGTTCAACGTCCTTCTACCTCAACTAATCTCTAAGAGAATAGAAATTACCGTCCGCGCCTAATCGGGTACATATCTCACGGTACTTGGCACGGTACTCACGATACTTCAAATACATCTTAAAAATAGCCTTCCGCTTCTCTTCTCGGAGAGCACTCTCAATCTCCAAAATAAGAGTCTAATGAAAAATGAAGAGCAAAAAAAAGTTAGGAAAGAAAGAGAAAGAACGTAAGGTACATGAACAAAAAAAAGAGAACAACAAACTTACCTTCAACATTCCGGATATGCCTAATGACAGATCGACATCATCAAATATCCGCAAAGTCCTGTTCTCGGTGCTAGAGCAGAGAGGAACCAAAGAAGGAACTATGCTCTCTGTATTCACCAACAAGTCGCGGTCCAAGGAAATGACTATGGTGCGAGTAGATCCCTTCGTCCTCACTTCTACCTAAGTAAACCCCTCATTGAACATCCGAGTCTTTTCGGGGTCAATGTCGGAACCATACTCATAGCCATCTACAACCACGCCTTCCCTTCTTCTTGGCGGAGGAAGGAACGTCGGCTTGCCCTGACGACGACGGATCACTCCTCGGAATGACCTCCGCTGCCTCTGATCGCCCCACTTCTTCCACGGTGACCTCGGGCAAGGGATCAATTTCTACATCTTCTAAAGGGGGCATAGTATCAATGTTTAAAGCTATACCGCCCTCGGATGCAGCCATGGCCAGCTCGGGATCGCCCCTTCTTAACTCTTCATTTC